ATTGGAATGTCCTCCGTCATAATATCTCCAGACTGAATCAAGAAGGATTTCACTATGATGTGCTAACTTTGCTAATTCTCCAGTACATAAATCTGAAAGAAAATTCAGAAAGTTATAAGCAAATAAGCTAGCATACATGATGCTAATTTACTAAAAGAGACATGAAATATTAAAATCCCTAAGGTAGTCAATACATTTGCAAAAGGATTTTTTAATAGCCCCTTAAAATTATCATGGATGGGAGGAGAACATTTCTATTCTGGAGGAAAGCAATCTGAAGCTTTTAACACAGATTTCATATTAGGCTCAGCCTAAAACTGAAACAAAAGTTTTTTTTAATTACCAAAAAGAAATCTGTACACTATTTAAGTACGAAGTATTAAGTATTTATAAAATGAAATGCTTGATGGCATTTCACTGTGAAGAGTAGATTATAAATACGTGACAGTGTAGGAATTAATAACAGGCCTTTGAAAATTAATCATTTCCCCAGCCGCTGCCCAAATATAACCTTGCCAAACGGCACTAACTAGTTGTCCACCTTAATGACCCTAGTGCCTGTGGACATTATCTGGCCCTTACTTTCACTTTGCTGCTAACCTGACTTGGGAAATCTTTCTCTGGAGGCTCAAAAGGGCTCAGACCAGAATATTTCAGACAATAGGCAGCACTTCTAACACTCTGCTTCTCTACTAAACTGTGCTGTTGTGTTTCCTTCAAAGCCTTTTCAAAAGTGGTAAATCCCGCTTTTACAGAGAAGCTGCTGGATCCCAATCTCTTGCCTTTGGGTTAACTGCCTAATTCCTCATGCCTACGCCACCAGAGTAGGAACATAAAACATAGACTGGGATAACGTGAAATCAAAAAATCCGTGATGAGGTAAAATAAAATTTGCTGCCTACAGTTAACTGATGATAGGCATCTGCAACCCACATAAGGCTCACTTTGATGAATATAGAATTCAAGTGATTGTTATCGTTAAGATGCCAGAGAGTACTTTAAAAAAAAAAACACGCACAAAACTACCTCATGCAACAGATTACTTTCCTAGGCTGTAATCTTTATGGGAGCGGATTCTCAGTTCTTTCTCCTGTAAAGCCTCTGGATAGGTTCAAACAACTCGCCTTTCCCTTATCAGCCAAGCACATAATTCTTTGCCTCCAGGACATCTTTTTAAGAGGAAGATTTTTGTTGTTGTTGTTATGTGCCCTCAGGTCGCTTGCGATTCACAGTGACCCTCTATGTACAAGAGCCCTAAACGCCGTTTTATCCTGTGCCAACCTAGCCGTCTCTGACACTCACTCCCACCACCGCAATCACAGAATCGATCCATCTCATCGAGGATCTTCCTCTCCTGAGCCGTCCCTCCACTCTCTCAAACATGATGTCCCTCTCCAAGGACCAGTCCCTCCTTGCAACATGTCCAAAGTATGTCAGACGAAGCTTCAGAATCCTTGACTCCAAGGAACATTCCGGCTTCACCCTCTCCAGGACAAACCTGTTTGTTTTCCTAGCAGTTCATGGTTTATTCAATATTCTTCTCCAGCACCACAGGTCAAAGGCGTCAATTCTCTTTCTATCATCCCTAGTGACTCTCCAACTATCTCATGCATAGATCGTAATTGCGAAGACTATAGTCCCGATCAAGTACATCTTAGTCTCCAGCCTGACGTCGTTGCTCTTCAGTACTCTTGAGAGGTCCCTCACAGCTGACTTTCCCCAATGCAATTCGTCTCCTGGTTTCCTGGCTGCAGTTACCAAGAGTATTGACTGTGGAGCCAAGCAAACTAAAACTGTTAGTAAAATAAAGATAGATAAGTAAAATCAGTCACCTGCAAGAACATGATTGAAACCAAGTTAGTTGTGATCAGAGACTAACTATAATGGAATGGATGGTAGAGAAATGGGAAAAGAGAGCAGAAATGAGAAAAGTAGAGAGGAAATGGAATCAGGAAAGGAAAAAAACCCACTCTTTATTCAGTACTTGAGCAAGAGAAAAGGGAATATCTTTCCAGGCAAAAACAGAAAAAGAAATATAAACAAACAATAGAAAGGGATAAAGAGTACTAAAGCTTTCTATCATCTCCATTCGACTCTCCCTGCTATTCCACTCAATACTGAGAAGTGATGGTGGCTTATCCTCATCTGCACACTGACTTTCAATTAGACTATATCTCTCTCCTTCTTTAACATATCATAATTATGTTAACATGATTCTCAGATTGTAAGTTTTGCATACATTTAACATTTCAAGAATGCAATTTTCAGAGTCCTTTTTTTCTGGTTCAGATAAATTTCTTTAAGGAATAATAGTAACAGCATGAATAGAGTGAGAGTTTATTATTGGATATTCTCTGGTTGCCTACTGGCAAGTAGCTACAAGGCAATTCCAAAGGCACATGGTTCAAAGCCACCAGCTGTTCTGTGAGAGAAGGATGGGCAATCTCCTCTCATGAGATTAACTGCCTGTGGAAACCTGCTGGAGGGTCGACAGTTATGGGTTTGTTCTGACTCCACGGTACACAACAACAACAAAATTATTTTACAATTTATTATTCAAAATGGCTTTCTAATGTGTGAACAGAACAAGGAAACATTACAAGGTTTAAAATTAAGAGAAGTGTGCATCAGGGTTGTATTATTTCTCAATACCTAGTTAATCTGATTGTAGAGCAAATCACTTGAGAAAAGGGACTCTGTTAAGAAGAATGGGGGATGTAGCCTCCTACTTTATTTATTTCCTCCTTTCTTGGAGCTAGAGCTTACTTGTATTTTGTCATCTATTGCTGCATAATAAATCATATATCTCCACTATTTCCTAAGTATACATTTTAGCTTTGCCTGCAGTTTCATCTGGGCTCAAATGTAGTTATTTTATGGTTTAATTGTGCTGAATGATTTGAATGGGTGGCCCACATGTACAGAGGCTGAGAGGGACTCTGAGGTGGGTCATCTATTCAGGCAGCACTGTCTGGACTTCTTACGTATCAGCAGCATTCTAAGAGCAGAAAGCAAAAGTTGCATGTCCCCTTGAAGCCTCAGCGTGGAATTCTGTTAGTAAGTCCCCTTTCACACCATTCTGTTGATGAAAGTAAGACATAAAGCTGGTTAAGATTCAAAAGATGTGAGAAGAGACTGAATGATGAGAGGAGCTGTAATGAAACTGTCACCATGTTCAATTCATACTACCACTCTTTAATGTAATGATATTTTTCTATCTAACCTTTACCTGTCTTTGTGTTCTAATGATATTTGTAATACGAGGAGAGTTAAATGTGTTAAGATCACCAGAAGCTTCAGAACTATTTCTGTTTCTTTGCACTTGTGATTCAATGAGACTACCGGCAAAATGGTCTTTATTATCTACGAGAGACAAGTTTGGATGGTGGCTTAAGAATATTCATTTCAAAGCCAGCGGACTTGGGTGTGACTGTTGGTTTAGAGATTATCAAAAGGGTGATGTTGGCCATGCTCTTTAATTCTGTATATGGCAATTGTATAATTTGCAATTGAGGGAAAACTAAAGACTACCTCTGAAGGATTAAAAAAATGTGGCAACAGGATTAGAGGAAGACTCATCAATAATCTGTTATGCAGATGACATAACTTTCCTTGCTGGAAAAGAGAAGGAATTAAAAACTTTTTTGCAGAAGACCAAAGACTACAGCCTTCAATTTAGATCACACATCAACAACAAGAAAACAGAAATCCTCACCACTAGACCAATAGGTACTTCTCTATGACTTCATCTTACTTGGACCCAAGGTCAACACCTTGGGTGGATGCAACTCCTGCTCAGTGATAGCAATGGAACACATAAATTTGTTGTTGTTGTTGTTATGTGCCATCAGGTCGCCTGTGACTCATAGCGACCCTATGTGCAACAGCCCTAAACCCCGCTCTAACCTGTGCTAATCTCTCTGTCTTTGACATGCCTACCCCCACTAGCCCAGTCAGTGAAGCAATCCATCTCATTGAGGGTCTTCCTCTCCTGCGCTGTCCCTCCACCCTCCTCAGCATGATGTCCTTCTCCGAAGACTGGTCACTCCTTGCAACAGGTCCAAAGTATGTCAGACGAAGCTTCAGAATCCTTGCCTCCAAGAGGCCACTAATATTTCATTCCAATTGTGCGACTCAATGGTTAACCCGGCTCAACTCTGGCCCATCCTGACCCCTCTGCTCCCACCCTCCCACCTTGGATCCTCATAGTCTTTCTACAATAATGCCTTTGTATGATATTTTTCCTTATGGGACTGAGTTAGTTCACTTAGAATAATGCTCTCCCATCCCTACCAAGCTAGGTAATAATTTACAAAAGCATTGCTCCTGCATGCCGCATAGTATTCCATTGTGTGAATGTTCCATAATTTCTCAATCTAGTCTATTGTGGTTGGATGTTCTGGCTGTTTCCATATTCTTACAATGGTGAAAAACACATGGTTTCTATGAGTCTTATTCAACTTAATGGCACTTAACCACTGCTAAGTTAGACTATTGTTTTTATATTTTGGAGAAACAGTCTTCTACTTTATACATCACACTTTGTTACTTTGTTGTACTGAGGTAATCTGGGTTTGCTGTAATGCTGAACCTTGTACCATAATGATTTTTAAGTGTGGATAGTGTTTGGTGGAGCTCTCAGTTGTAAAACAAGTTAGGAAGCAGGAATGACATCCACTTCCCAAATGACATGCCTATGGAAACTCTATGAATTTGGGGAAACAACAACAGTTATAAAAAGGTATTAGATCTTTTTTTTTATTTATGTTGTTTATTTTTCATTTCAATGAGCA